TTCCTTAAAGCTGGAGTAGATAATTTATAGAAACATAAGATTTAACTAAAAAATAAAATATTCTGAAGTTAATTAGAAGCTATCTTATTTTAAAAACAAGTTTAAAAAATCAACTTAAATAAACTGTTTTAAAAACACCATTTTTTGTAAAGAAATGCGTAATTAAAAATTAGTAAATGTAAACAAAATTAAAACTTTTCAACTGAAGCGTATCTTTTTTTGAGCTAAATTAAAGTTTTCGAGGAAAAAATTAAATGTTTTTTTTTAGCTTAAAAGCAAGAAAATATGATTTTAATGTTGTTTTTAAGTATCTAAAGCCAAATAAGTTGCAACGTTTACAAAAATGTTCTTTTATTAATGTTTTATTTACATAAGTTCAAGGGGAGGGACTAGGGGGGTTGGCTGTAGCCCCGGGCCCGCCACTGCATAAGTTCATTTAATTATATGGCTTTTATGTAAAATGGCCCTTTTTTACATGACTCAAACATGCTAAAACATTATAAAAATTAATAAATAAATTATTGACGTTTCATTAAAAATAAAAATAAAATACTGAAAAGTGTTTTACACCAACACTCGTTTTAAAAATTAATTAATTGTGACCCGTCCAATTTTATGTTTGATTGTAAATTATATGTAAATAATTTAAATTAAAATAAGATATAATCGAGAAGACCTGGAACTTTCAAACTTTGCACATAATAGTTTTATGGTCTATTTAAGTTACCCCCGCTTGAAGCAATAGATTTTTCTAAAAAAAGTTAAAAGTCACTGATGTCTACTGGACGCTGTTGGATGCCAAAATTTTTTCATGAAGTAATTTTAACACCTTGGAGGCACACTTAAGTTTCATAGAAAGTTAGAACCATCAAATAAGAGTTTTAAATTGAGTCCAAATAACCATATTAGCCTTTGTTATGTATATGTGTATGTCTGGAATAATAAATATTAGTTTTAAAATGTTTTTGAATGCTGTAAAAATGTAAAATTTGAAAAGCTGTCATTTTGCCATTTTCTCAGACGAAATAGTTGTATATCAAGTTTTACATTTTTGGAGTCAGGAAACATTGTACTTTCACCTTGTCAAAGCAGTTTTCTCGGTCGGCTCAAAGTAGTTATCGGCCATTTTGTACAACAGTGTTTAATATGAAATTCACGCCTCCTACCTAACCGATGTTCCAAAACTTGCTCTCATGTGGGGTTTCAACTACGGATCCTTTATTTATGAGGCAAGTACGCTACCACTACGCCACGGCTGCTCAATTATTGCTGTATCAAGCAATAACATTGATATTTTAAAAACTTGAACCAAACTATCTCTAGTTGACATACAACAATAGAACTTTTGTTAAGCATGTATTATTTTTTATACAATATTAAAATGAAAAGTCAAAAATTAAAGTTTTCAAAAAGTTATTTAATTTAGCATTATTTTTACTGTAAAATTTTTGCTTAAAAGCAGTCAAGACTTTGGTCATTTCTCAAGTTGCTTATTTTTGACTTGATGATTTGGTATACGTTTGCGTAACTTTCTAAAACTGTTTATCAGTAAAAGTAGGGGGGGGGGGGGTCCATAATCGTCTTTTTTTAGATTTTTTATAGTTTAAGCAATTTTTCTTATTTAGTTTTTTATGCTGATTCTGAAAATCATAATCATTTTTTTTCATTTTAATTATTTAGCCTTCTACTTCGATTTTAATAAAAGTCAATATATTGACAAAAAAAGGCATTGTTAAAAATGGATGAAATTATTATTATCATTAAATATAAAAAAAGTAGAAAACTAGAAATCTTTTTCTGTTTAATTTATCAATAATATACCTTATCATTTATAAGTAACAAAAAAAATTAATCATTATATATGAAAAAAATTCATACAGTTTGTTATTTACTATTGAAAATGGAAAATAACTATAAAAGTCATCATATGTGATAGAGATTGCTGCGTGAACTTTCCTTATAGAACACCTAGGTTATGAGCGTGTTCTTTGGTAGACATAAGATGGAGGTTTGTATTTTTATATCAACAATCATGTATTTAAACAGAATAGACCTCCGCGATAATGACCTACATTGTATCCCTAAAATAAAGAACCTTATTTTTCGAACTTTTTTTTCATTTTAACATATCTTTATCTACTTCAATAATGTCTAGTTCACAGCTAAATGGGCTGCATCAGGTGTGCAAGATGAGTTCTGTTTTAGCTAAATCAAGCTAAAACAGAACTCATCTTGCACACCTGATGTAAAGTTTGCTGCTCTTCCATTATTATCCATTTGTTTTTGTAGCTGGTTTCAACTATATTCTATAGTTTCAACTTTTTAAACAAATAACTGGACAATAATTCTCCAAAATGTTTTTAAACTGCGCGAACCTTCATTTTTTATATGGTTTAAATAATTAAGTATACATCTATTGTTGAAATTGAATGAAATTAAATTTTTGAAATTAAATTTTTTCCAAAGCTTTCCAACTGCAACAACTTAATTAGAAAGTTAATACTAATCATATTCCATCATCAACCAAACACATAATACTTTTCTCTTTTTTAAAGTCCTGAGGCTAACTTTTGCCAAAATACTCTAGCAAGAATGATACAATCATTCAACCTCTTTGAGGTATACTTATTAACTGATTCTAGAATTTTTTTTAACTAGCTATTCACTGCGTTTTAGATTAAAGCAGAAAATTTCAAAATTTGATTACCCAGTTTGTTTTTTATAAAGCCTTTTACGTAGCGGTGTTCCTTTATACTAACTGTTTATCTTTAGAATTGTTAAAACTTGAGAATTTAACTGAACTTCTACTGACTGGCACTTTAAAAGAAGATTTATTCTTGACTTCATTAAAGAAAAGTGAAAAAAAAAAATGAAATCTTGAATAGCCTCCTTGATAGCTTGAATAACGATTAAAAAAAATTAAAAAAAGGAAATTAAGATACTTTAAAGCAATCTGTCTTTTTGATTACTTAAAACATTTTGTTTAGAAAGAGACTTCAAATAAAACTTTTTTTTTTGAAGCAACCTATCGTTTTAACTTATTTAAAACATTTTTTTGAAAAAGACTTCTGATTAATCTGTTTTTTACTAAAACGCAACGATTAAAAATCAAATTTATCCAATCAAAATTTGAATAGCATAAATTTGAAAGAAAAGTTGCGCAACTTTATACGCAAAGAAACTTTGGCAAAGACTTTTATTTTTTATATCTTTTAAATTTTTAAAATAAAAGTAGAAGGTCAACCATAAAAAATTAGCAAAAACTGAATTGTTTTTTAAACTTTTCTCAAAAAATTAATTAAGAATAATTGGTTAAACAAGAAATATAGAGTTTTGGACCCCCCCCTTCCCTTAGTAAAAGTATAACAAAAACCATAAATAAATATAAAATCATGTTCCGTATTATTTAATTAACAAATTTCATGCGTCAGAGTTTAGGTAGTGTTAAACTTAGTTAGGCAAAACATTGTTTTTTGTAAAATAAAGCAGCCCTCTAGTGAAATCTAAAACCGAATAGCCTCAAAAATTTTTTTTATTTTTAATAGAGCTGTCAACTCGTTTACAACTCTGATACTTGTTTGGAATTTGTTATTAATTCTTTAAAACTTTCGCCTCTACGGTCAAAATTGAAAAAATAAATAAATAAAATTAGCACCAATCATACTTGTTTTATTATGCAACTTTATCCAAGAGATCTTGTGTAAAGTTGCTTAATGAGACAAGCAGAGGCGATTTTATGAATAAAATTGAGGGAGTGGGGTAAGGGAAATACTTAAAAAGTACCCGACTGGCTTTGGAAAAAAAAAAGTCCTCAAAACTAAAATTTACTCGATTGAATTGTGTCAAATATCCGTCTAGCCGACTAAATTTCTAAAATAATCGACTATAACTTAAAAATCACCTTCTTTGGGGATGGGCGGTGTTCCACCCCCCGTAAAATCACCTCTGGAGACAAGTATTATTTGTATTTTTTTTTTTAACTTTGGCTGATAGTTTAGATTACAATATAACATTGTAATCTTTTCGGATACATCGAAATTGATTTACATATTGATATACCTTGAAAATAATTTTTTTGAAATATTTAATATAAAAAGTAAACATTTCTAATATTGACAATAAAACACGTATTGTTTTAAATGCGTTTTATGTTTTTAATTTTATAAACTGGATAAACTTATACAACATCACAAAGTTGTTTTAAGACCAGCTTTTAATATTGACAAAACAACCTTGCAGTTTGTTTTATTGTTATATTATACAGAACAATTTACTAAGCTTTTAAAACAAAACGTGTTTTATCCGCAGTAATAAACTTCTATTTTTAAATCAGTATCGGCACGTTATTAAAAAAGGTTGTTTTAACTTGCTCCACGTGTTTACGTCTATTTTAATTAAAAAGAAAAAGAAAAAAAAAAAGCGATTTTATATTAAAAATAAACATATATAACGTAATAAATTGGCGCTTAATTGTGTATAATTAAGTTATAATTAAATAGGCTTTTCTCTAAAATTATCGAAAAAAGATAAATATTTAGCCTTTAGATAAAAAGTTTTCTAAATTTAATTCACATAAACTTTTTTAATCCAACAGAGTATTGTGTGTTCTTGAATGATAGTTGTAGTAATTAGTATCGTTATGAATCTTTACAAAGGTGGAAAAAAAAAAAAAAGCAGCAGTTTTTTATTACGAGTAAAATTTTAAGTCATTAATAGTATATAATTGCACTATAATTTCTTTATAGAAATCATATAATGTTAAATTATTTTTTTGTGTGAATTAACCTGAACATTATTGACAGTTTAAACATTCTTATGTTGCTATGCAAACAAAAAAATGCGTTTAATGGTAAATAATGCTACCATCTGTATAATACTATTATTGTCTTGCTTTACAATTGATGTGAAATTATTGACTTATGGAAAAAAACTACAACGAATTCAATCTTCTGAAAATAAATATAAAAGTTTATTTCTTTTTTTATTAGAATTTGATAACAATAATATATAAAGCAAATGTATTAAAGGAAAAAAAATATATATATATATAACTATTAATACAAAAAAGTAACATGTTTCTAATGACTATTATGGATTATGCTTACTGACAATGAAATTGTTATGGCTAATTTGAATGATGCAGTGTATAGTAAAAAATACAACAAAACAGAAAAACAAAAATGTAAAAAGTCTTTGATAAGATCACTTTTATACTTAGTACCAGAAATAATGCTGCATTCTCTTGATGTAAATTTTCCAATATCAAAAAACTTTACTTCAATACTTGACATTAATGCAAGTTTAAACAAACATAATTCAATATTAGAAACAAATATTGTGTATTCTAACAACAGTATGGAAAAAAAAAGATTAACTTTACAAGCACCAAAAAAGTTTGTTTCTCAAGCAGGTTTGGCACAAAGACATAAACAAGCAAAGAGCTTTTATTGGAAAGTTATTGCACATTTTATAGAAAAGGCAGGTCAGTATAGTGTACACACACACACACACTCACACTCACACACACACACACACACACACACACACACACACACACACACACACACACACACACACACACACAAATACACACAAACACACATAATACCAAAATTAATGTTTTAGAAAAACCAACTAATGCTACTTAAAAAATATTTAACACAAAAATACTATTATAGCAATACAACAGTATTGCTATAATAGTATTTTTGATGACTCACCAGTAGTTTTGATGAGTACCAGTTTTGAGTCAATCTGTCATTGAGTCACTTAGCCATATTAGACTGCGTTAAACCCTTATAATAATACTGCTTATACCCAATTGGCTTTGTTTATTAATTAATCAGTGTAAACCTAAAAGACATTTTCAAAGGTCCCAAAGAATGCAACAGAATTAAAGTTTTATAACCATATTTGTCTTTTACTTCTTTAAATTGATGCATTAGCTTCCTTTTTTTGTTTTATGCATTAAAAAAGGAATGCTAATGATGCATTAATTGATAGCTTTACTTTTTATTTTAAAACATGACTTATGATGTTTTGATTTAGATCACTCAAAACATGTTTTGATTTAGATTTAGTTATCTACCAATTCTACTTTCAAATATTTTTTTGGCTTGATCTCTACTATTCATTTCTTTAAATATGTGTATTAACAAGCATTTGTTAAACTATATTACTAGCTGTTAAATACACAAACAGGTGTATAAAACAGTTATTATTTTTATGTTTTTGTATAATAAAACTTTTTTTATTATTATTAAGGTTCCTGTAAATATTTAAGAGTCTTGTAGCAAAACAATTTTTAAAAACTGTTGTTTTTCAATGCAATTTACTGCTTACACCATAACCTTCAGTAAATACATTTAATGTATTTACTTGATACCTTGCCTATAACTATTGTAGTATGAAGTCATCCTGTTGTTAATTGAATACTCCAAACTTAATGTTGTTTCTAAAGATAAGATACGCAACATTTTTACTCTGTGAATTCACTTTATTTGTAAAGGTTTGTGTTTTGGAGTTATAGAGAGAGGATTGTAACTACAATAGTAAAACTTTTTTTTTTTAATTTCATTTTATGCGTAGATATTAGAACATATTGTAAAAATATTTTTTATGGAATGTAATTGCTACTTTGAGGGGCAATTTTAACAACATGAATTTGAGAAACGTTTTTTTTTCTGTACTAATTTACACCCGTAATAATTAGTACTGTAATTATAACTTTTTATAGAAGACATTTTTTATAAAGGAACTGTATACAAGCCTCTTTGACTATAGTGAGTCTTTGACCTTAAATAACATTAAAATAAAAGAGTTTTTTTTTAACTAGTTGTTCTATTTCATATCAAGTTTACATCACATTGTTTATTATTTTTAGGTGCGTTTGAGGATATCCAATCAAACTTTTACACTAGTTTGTTGAGTTTTTTTTTATTTAAGGTAATTTTATAATATCTTTTTTATATTTTTGAAGTTTTTGTTGAATGACTACACACTAAAATAAATCACTTTCTTTATAACTCTCTAATCATGCTCTAAACAAATTCATTTTAACTTTTTTTTTCTTTTATAATAATCCTGTACAAAATAATAATTGTAGCATGTTATTCAGTATAGCAATATATTTTAATACTCTTTTTTTATCAATCTTCTTCATTCATTGTTTATCTAATGTATTTTCTTTAATCTATATAAAGTTTATTGGTTAAAAAAAGCAAGAGAGATTCTTTAGAAAGTTTATATACTGAACATAATATCATCATATAAGCATCCAACTGCTGTTTTGCAGAGGCAAGGATTTTAATATAAACAGTTTCACCTCATTTACTAGTGTAATGAATGATGGATTGCCGTAGCTTTGCAAACTAACTAACAGAAAATCACTACTTATTTAAACATTTTGAATTAATCCCTGTGGAAACTAACAAGTCCTTTAGTAATAAATTGTTTATAAATTGTTCTACTTTGTTACACTAAGTAGAAACCTTTAAACAAACTGAATGCACTTATGTAAAGAAAGTACATTATCATCAGCTTAGAGATTTTTTGGCAAATTTGCACCAAAGACATGGTAAAAAACTTACTATTTGATATGTATTTGCAAAAAAATTTCATATGTATGTATTTCATATGTTTTCATATTGTATATGCAATTATAATATTCTCTTAACTCAAACCTATGAGCTCTCATATGAAAATGAAGAGGTTTTACAATCTACTTAGAGTGAGAATGAGAAAATAAAAGGTAGAGGTGATATGAATGGGCAGTAGGGGTGGTATGAATGAGACAAACAAATGCATTAAAAGTTACACTAATCATAACATGGTCATCAGTGTCAAAAAAAAAAAAAATCTATTATTTTAAAAAGACATTTTTTTTTTCAATTTTAATGAAATAGTTATTCTTGATTGTTTTTGAGGGCAGATGGAAATTTTTTTAAATGGCGTATATCAACACGAAGGTTTTCATTTAAAACGTTGTGCTTTCTATAATAATGAAAAGTGCAAATTATTTAATTTAATCCTTACAGGAATTTTTTTCCAGATTTAATAAAGTTTGTTTTATGAAATGATCCATTTGTTTATAAATGGGATAAGACAACTTGTTTTTTTTGTACTTTTATTTGCACATCAATATCATCTCATTAATAAGTCAAAAGGAACCAATCTAAATATTCAACTTCAAGATCTTCTTACCAACGATTCAAATTTGGGGACACGTGTTTCTATTAAAAGACTTCAATATTTTACAAAAAATATTTTAAAACATATACAATCATAACTATTAGTTCAATCTCACTAAAATCTCTATTAGTTCAAAATAAAAATTACAAATCTTAAATCATTTTTTTTTTGTCAAAAAAGGTAAAAACAAAAGTTGTGTAATATTCTATATTCAAATAGTAATGAATGTTTTGTCTTCTGAATAGCTTTTAATTCTAAAAGAACAAACAGTTCCTTGTTTCATATTCAAAAGAACAATGATTTCAATGTAGAAGGGCCTATGAGTCATATTGGACAAGAAGCAATTTTTTTTTTCATAAAAGATATTTTTTACAATTGAAATATTTTATAATAGAATATAAGATATTTTAAAACAGAATTAAAGATATTTTATAATAGAATAAAAGATATTTTAAAATATGATTTTCAATTTCAAAATCAAAATTGTGTTTCAATTTCAAAATGAAAATTGTATTTTTGTTTCCGAGTTATTAAGGTGCTCCTAAAAGATCTAACGGTCTTGTCACAGAGTACTGTGGAAAAGCATTTAATAAAGAAGTAGTGAGTAAGGGGGGAAGATTTATTATTAGATAAAATAATATTTTAGATAGTAATAAATTTTCTTAACTTGTTTAATTTGATATTTGGTTTGCTTTTATTAATCTCTTAGCATGATCTCTTATTCAGTTGGACATCTTAAATAAAAAAACAATATATTTTGGTGAAGCAAATCTATTTTAACTTCTTACTTGTTTGAGCTTGTAGCTGAAGCAAAGAGTTATTAAAAATTTTTTTTTTTTTAATTTTTAATTTTTTAAAATTTTTTTATCTTAAAGCCTAAAAGTACATCACTAACTCTTAGTCCTTATGGTCAATCAAGTTTATTATCAAGTTCAGTTCTAAAATGCTCATCCAAATACATGCAATGCTTTTACTCAATGGTTATTGAAAATGGATCATTTCTTTTGCAAACATGCAGTTTTTTACCAGACTTTCGAATTTATATTCTATCAAGCAAAGTTGCAAGTCAAATTATTGTGATTAAGGAAAGAATTGATGGATTAAAAGATGAAAAGTATTCATTGTGTCCTAATATCTTTCTTAAAAAGTTGTTTGTAAGTATTAATTTTTTATATTTTTGTTATGTGTATGAGTGTTTGTTTGTGTCTGGGTGTGCTAACTTGCTTCATTTTTTAACTCTATATAATCTTTAAAAATTGAAGCTCCTTCCAATAAAAAACTAGCCCATTCCTCAACCCTCGGAATCAAGGTTGGTATTTGGCAATGCCGACCTAACAGTTGACCTAAGTGTTTGAGTTCGGCAAAAAATGTTAATGGTAACCCCTTTGTGTCAAATTTTTTACCCAACTCTAACAGTTTGAGGTTGGCAATTTATTTTTATGACCTCATTTTTCCTAATTCTGAGGGTTGATTCCTATGGTAGAGGCTTTAAATTTACCGTTTATGGTAAAAAATGACTCTTAACGTATCTTTAAAGTTAAGTACATTTTATATAAAAACTAATAAATTTAATTAAGGAAACTAATTAAATTTTATTGTTTTTTACAAAATCACAAAAATGCAGCTTAATTGGCTGGAATGCGTTATGATTTTATAATAAAAATAAAAACATTCTAAATGTTTTAATTTTTTATTTTTTTTGTTTACATACATTGACTGACATGTAAGTAGAACATGCAATAAGTGCTGCTATATTGACTGACAAATAAGTAGATCATGTGAGGAGTGCTGCTACATTGACTGAGGGATTTGCGCCAAAACATTCGTTTTCAGTTTCTTGTTAATGTTCAAGTTGTTGCCGCTTCCAGGTTTTCTATTTATTGTATTAAGTGTCAAATACTTATTGAAAGTTCTAATCACAGTACTTTTAGAACATCCAACAGTTTTTACAATCAATTTGAGAGGCAAATTAGGATTTTCCATTCGAGCGTGCAAAATTGCATCATGCACTTGTTGTTTTGTTGCCATTTTGAATAATAATAAAATTGACTGAGAGTTTGGTTTGGGCAGGCATATATATATATATATATATATATATATATATATATATATATATATATATATATATATATATATATATATATGTGTATATATATATATATATATATATATATATATATATATATGTATATATATATATATATATATATATATGTATATGTATATATATATATATATATATATATATATATATATATATATATATATGTATATATATATATATATATATATATATATATATATATATATATATATATATATATATATATATATATATATATATATATATATATATACAGGCTTGGCGGGAAGAAATGAGTGCAAGAGCAGCCAAAACAAACTCTCCTAAAACAAACTTGAGGCAGTTTTTGATATTTTTTGACTTTTCAGTTTCTTAATTTAAGACAGGTTACTTATGGTTATATGGTTATTAAAGTATACACTTTGAGAACTTATGGTTTTTCCTCATCAAGATAATAGATTTAAAAATTCTTCAACATCTAACAAAAATTTTTAATGTGTAATCGAAAAAGATTTCATGTGTAATCATTGACAATTTGTCTTAAGTAGAAACAGAAATCATTGTTTCTAAAAGTCTCAGCATGATTTATTTAATAACGATTTATTCAGATCTCAGATCATGCATTTTAGATGCAGGCAGATCTTTTGATCATGCATTTCAGAATTTTTTTAAAAAATAATAAAAATAAATTATTTAAATTAATCATGCTGAATAATGAACAATATTTCTATATGTGCTTTTTTTTTCTTTTCTTGCATTGATGGCATTTACTAAAAAATATCAAAGTAGAAAAACAACAAAAAGTAAAAACAAAATATTACTTTGTCACAAAATATTTATATATTTAACACCAAAAGTTTTAAAAATAATGTAAAACAATTTTTATATTTAATGTTTAAATAAAATATTTGTTTTTGTCTTTTATAGAACATTCAAGCATCAGGTGATTACAAATTTTGCATACTTGGATGTAAATATGTAAAGCTTTGTTTGTCTTTTAATCATGCAATCTATTTGCAACCTCTGTTAAAATTGGATACAAAACTGAAAAAAATTGAGTCTAAAATTTGTCAGCTTAAACTTGAGTGCAAACCTGATTTCAAAATAGAAAATAATATTCGTAAGAACTTCACTATAATTTTAAAATGGCTAGAAATGGTAGAAAAAATGTTCTTGTCTGTCAAAAAAGCAGAAAACTTTGAAGCATTTAAAGATTCATGTTTGAGTTTCTCTGTAAGTAATCCTTAATTACTGCTTTTTAAAATTTAGATGAATTTGATATATTGTGTGTAAAATTTAGATAAATGTGATATATTGTGTGCTAGAAATATGTGTTATCTTTATATTGTACATAATGTGCTATAAATTTTCTAATTTATTTTGTTTGCTTTGTACGAGGGTGTTAACCAGGAATATATTTTTTATTGTGTTTTTGCGATATTGGGGATATTTGTTATTATTCTACAAAATATTGGAAATTTTTATTTATATTGTCCTACTATTTTAAAAAAACAAAAATCATTAAATTTTGGGTATATAAAACCCATTGGAAGTTCAGCAGTATATGCGGTGCCATAGGGCTGGCTAACACCCTGTGTATTTATATTGTATATTATTAAAATGACCATATCTAGATTATGCCAGACAAGAAATAAATTTATGGAATTTGAATAATGGGTTTTTCTTAAAAGTTGTTTGAATTTATATTTTTCAAAATTTTGCTTTTGATATAAATTTTCACTCATACAGCGTGTATGACAAATTGAATTTTGAAAAAAAAATTTAAAAATTTTTTAGGTTTTTAAATCACAAATAGTTTTTGTAAAAAAAATTATTTTCAACAAAATCATTTTTTAAGGAACAAAATAGCAGCCAAAGTTTTCATAAAAAATTGAGATTTGATTATGGTTTAAATATTATTGGAAATCAAAGATACTTGCTCTATAAAAGCATTACTACCTGGTAAACATAATGTAGCTTCTACTAATTTTAAAAACTGTTGAATTATACATGATTATATTTAAAATAAAAAAAATTCTCAATCAATTGCTTTTCGCATACAACAAGACTTTAGATTTTAAGAAGAAAACTTTTAATGTGTGCAATGAAACTAGTTTTCTCAATTTTATCAAACAATTCATTGTCATCGAATATAAGTTCAATTGATTTTTGTCAAAATAGATGCAGTTTTAATTCATTCAACTTCACAGTTGATAATAAAATATTTGAAAACTTAAACTTGAATAAAGTGATGTGTCCATTCCTCCATATACTCTAAACAAACACTGTAAAAGAAGTCTACTTTTTTCAGAAATTTTTTCTTTGGTAGTTTGTAAATATTATTTTACCATAAAAGATAGAAATCTATTATTTCACTTATTTCATTATTGAAATTGTCAAATATTGACTTTCAATTCTTAAAAAGTATGAACTTAATGGCTGATATAATTTAAATACTCAATATATAGCTGGAAGTAAGTCTGGCCAAGAAATATTTGAGATTCCTTAAAGTTTTTGATAATCAACAACAGCCTCCTTGCAAAAAATACACAGCCTCTGAAAATTCATTAAGTTTAAGATTTTGTTTGATGATATGGCAGCATCCAATGCTATTGGATGCTGCCATATTATGCCAAGTCAATGTGTTTGATAGACTGATGATTTTCAGGCTGTCCACAACTACTAATACCAAATTGGGTTTGACAAACATTTCAGGAGCTCATTTTTGATCTGCCCTATGAATAAAAACATTTTTGCTAAATTATCAGTAAATGTGTTTTATCTTTTCTTCTTATCGTTCATTTTATAAATTTGATTTACATCAAAAAGGTTGATGAATCTTAATTAAGTTTTATAAAATCTATATTATTCAAATGAACATTGAAGTATTATTTATATTAATAAGGAAAAACATTACGAACTTTGTTTGCATTGTGTTTTTCAAGATATTTTTAAAGATATTTGAAATTGCTCTTCTCTAATTAAAAGAACTTCAATGTATTTCTTTCTTTCACCAGAATTTAATTTATCTAGTTTTATTAAATAAATATAATTCCAACAAAACTTAGTTATTTACTGCTATTAACAACTATTGCAGTACTGTCAACATTTCTATATTGATGAATGGGAACTATTTCACTGAGTCCTCTTTTTTACATCTTCTTGGATTATCATTTACTACTGACCTTTAATGGAAACCATATAAAGAATTGATTGCTAAATTAGCATCTGCTAAAGTTGCTTCTCTTTATCGTGCTTGCCATTTTCTCTCTCCTGATTCCATTCTCTACCTTTACAAATCTCTTATTTGTCCCTGTATGGAATATTGTTGTCATTTTTGGGCTGGTTTTTCTAATGATGTTTTTTCTTTTCTAGACAAGGTCCAAAAATGCATTTCATCTTTCATCTAGAGTTTTTATCTTTAGTTCCATCAACTAAAACTCATTCTCGCTTGAATTGTCATTCATCAAAGTCTCATTCTTATACTGTATCTGTCACTGCATGCTCCAAAAACTTTTATTTGTCTAGCTTTTTTCCCCGCACTTCAACCCTTTGGAACTCTCTCGGATTTTCATATTTTCTTGTTTTGTTGTTGTTGTCTTTAAGTCTTTTTTTTCACAGAAATTTAATTATTATAGTTTTATTAATATTGTTATTATAGTTTTATTAATACAGTATATATGCAAGAAGCAGTATATATGCAAGAAGCAGTATATATGCAAGAAACAGTATATATGTAAGAAGTAGTATATATGCAAGAAGCAATATATATGCAAGAAGCCGTATATATGCAAGAATATGCATATATACTGCTTCTAATATATGCTTCTTAAATATATGCAAATATATCTTTTAAAATGTATCTGTTTACAAGATTATATTTATGTTTAATATGTTTTACTATTTTTTTCCCAAACAGTTATTTTATTTTTTTTCCCAAACATTTATTTTTATTTTTTTTCCCAAACAATTTTTATTTTGTGTTTTGTTTTTGTTTAAATTAATTTGAAATTTTAAGTTTTTTTTTAATTTTTTAGATTTTTTAGAATGAGTAGATTTTTTAATTCACAAAAAATCTACTCATTCTAAAAAATCTATTTATTTGTAAAAAGTTTACTCAAATATCAATTCATGTAAACAGTTGTAAAAACTATGTTTTTATCTTTTGCATTTCTACTGTTTTTTATGGTTATTAAGAATTAAAATGTTCTTGTAAATCTAAATTAAAAACAACATAAATATTAGTAATAATAAATATAAAAAAAGAAGTGTTTTTCTTCTAAACTTTAAAATATTTTATTTTCAAGTTTAAGAAAAAATATATTGCATTTTATTCATTCATTAAGTATAGCAGTTGACTTCAGCATGGCAGAGCTTCACAATTAGGCATGGCTGTTGACCAAATTTAACTCTAATAAACATTTATGATTTTTTTTAAAAAATCATAAATGTTTATTAAAAATGTTTTTTTAAAATCATAAATTTTTTTAATAGAGTTGACTCCAAAAAAAGTAATGTTAATAATTTTTAATTCTGTTAAACTTTGTTTAACAGTTTTATAAATTCTATTAATATTTTTTGTGTTGTTGAAGAAGTATCTGTATATATACTTGTAAATGATCAAGCAGGTTTGACCGGATAAACTGTTGTTACTTGTTACTAATTGTCTGTTATTAAAAATAATCAAGCAGGTTTGACCAGATATTAATTTAAAATTTATTCTACTT